GTGTGAACACTGATATCTGTGATGATGGGGACTTCTGCAGGAAGGTGAGTTGGATCATCCACTCAGCACTTCTGGCTAAAGATGCTTGTAAATGCTTCTGCACTGATGAGCTGGGCTCTTCCATCATTAAGGATAGGGATATTTGTGAGCCTCTCAAACTTAAGAATTTTAGAAAAAAATGAAGAGATATTCACCAGAAAAACAATAAAATCCTAAAGTTAACAAGTGTTACAGATCACAAGAGGAACAGTCCGACTTCAACTTTCTCATCCCTGGAATTAATTTTGTGAATAAGTTCTGCAGTCCTTCACATGTTTTTCTAAAATGTGCCAAAACTGTAAACAGTGCTCCAGCTGAGGTCTAACAAGTGTCTTACACAAGTTCAACATCACCTCCTTGCACTTGTACTCTATTTCACAGTAATGAAGCTGAAGATACAGTTTGCTTTATTAAATGCTATCTCCACCTAACCTCCCACTTTCAAAGATCTGTGCACATATACACCCTCTGTTCCTGCACACCCCCCCTTACAATTGTACCCCCTATTTTATAGTGTCTTCCAATGTCCTTCCTATTGAAGTGCATCACCTCACACCTCTGCATCAATACTCATCTGCCATCTATCCATGCACTCCACCAACTTGTCTATGTCTTTCTGGAGTTCTACACTGTCCTGCTCACCAGATTACAGTTCTTCCAAGTTTTGTGTCATCTGCAATCTTTGAAATTTTTCCCTCCACAGCAAGATCTAGATCATTAACATATATCAGAAGATGTGATGTGCAGGTGCTGGTGTTGGACTGTGGTGGGCAAGGTCAGAAGTCACATGACTCGAGGTTATAGGCTAACGGGTCTGTTTGAAATCACAAGCTTTCGGAGCACTGTTCCTTCGTCAGGGCAAGTGTATTTTACCTGACAAAGGAGCAGCGCTCCGAAAGCTTGTGATTTCAAATAAACCTATTGGATTATAACCTGGTGCCGCATATCTTCTGATCTAGATCAGAAGAAGCAAAGGTCCCAAAACTGACCTCTGGGGAACTCCATGACTAGCTTTTCTTCAGCCTGAAAAGCATCTATTGATCATTATTCTCTGTTTCCTATTATTGAGCCAATTTTGTATCCATGCTGTTACCATCCTTTTATTCCATGATCTATAACTTTCCTAACAAGTATGTCATGTGGCACTGTGCCAAACATCTTTTGGAAGTTCATTTACACCACATCAACAATCATCAAGACTTTCTATTACCTGTAATCTCCTTAAGAAATTCAAGCAAGTTGGTCAAGTCCAATTTCCCCATCGGAAATCCAAGCTCTTCCTAATCAACTCACTTTTTACTAATTCAACTAATTCAATTGTTTAGTAAAAGAAAGGTAATGCAATCTTCATTTTGACTTACTAGGTTATCTCCCATGGCATTGAGCCGGTATGAAAATAAAACATGCAGAATCTGATTTTCAGCCATCAGGTTAAGAATGTTCACAATCTTAATTTCAAATTGAATCTAATTTCCTGACTAACATTTTTCATCATGATTCTTGGAGGTTGCTGATATTCAGTTACATCACACAAGTGGCAATGAAGGATTCCTTTAGATGTTCTGAATCCATTCCAAATTAAAACAATGGACAAACCATGAAGGTACAACAGCCTCTGAGGAGTATGTTTACTACAGCAATGACTCTGAAACTGCTTTCACTGTCTTGATATCACAAGACAGGTCATTGCAAATGGTATCAGTTACCACACACAAACACACATGAACCAGAGGCAACTATATCTGTAGATATAGCTACCACAGCATAAAGCCTTAATGTTACTGTATGTTTCCAGAAATCCATGTGGTATTGGTTACATAAGATGGTCTGCAATGAAGATGTCGTGATTGGAACCAGGGCCACGTGAATCTCATTGTCTATGAGATCCTTGATTGAGTTTGTTAACCTGGACCAAACAGACAGCCCTGGCTGACAGGTATAAACAGGAAATTCAGAGAGTCTCCTGATTCTAGGGACTGGCTCTGAGATAGCTGGTCAGAGCCCATATATAAACCACATATAAATAAAGGGTGACTTGATGATGGGATACCGGCCTCTGTGCAGTTATTTTAGCAGACATTAAGGAAGTGATAACCACGATGCTCACAAAGGGTCACACTTTCAATACTTCTCTTATGGAAAGGAGGCATCAACAATCCAAACAGACAGCTTCCACTGGGGAGAAGGGTTCTCCGAGTGGAAAGAAACACATTTGGTGCCCATGTGGTCATCAAAATCCTTCCAAGCAGTTCCCAGGTTGCAAATGAGTTCCATTCTTGAGTTCATTTGCATGCCGATTTGTATGCGAGTTGGAACACTATGCAGAACAAAATAGCCAGGCATTCGTAAGTACAGGAAATGTACATGTATCAGATCTTTCAAGTTATACCGCTGTATAGGATGGCATTCATCAATACCAGCACTCATAAGTTGTACATTCATAAATCGGCCCCACATCCGTATATCATTCCCACGGCCTTTCTGGAGAAACAGTTAACATTCAGACAGCATCTGCCCAAAGAAACATTCTTGAGAGCACTAATATTCAGGGGTATGCTTTTATTGTGTGTCTGCACAGTGTCCAAATTATGTATGAAGAATATAGTTTTTAGGTGTTTCCTGTTGACAAGATCTGATTGCTGGCAGTCTTAGAATGATAGAAGATCTTCAGGCTAAATTTCCAAATCAGACAGGAAATATGTTTAAAAAAACCGTGAAGTATCTATAACACCCAATAAACAGCAGAACGGTGTGTTTTGCTTTAAGGTTTCTCTATTACTGACTGAGAAACAGAGAGAGCGCGCTCACTGCAAATTACTTTAACAACACCCATCCTAGTTCTGTAAAAGCATACAGGAGTCTTGAGGTTGTTGCTAAGTGAAGAGCACCACAGAGTGAAAGCCTTTTGAAGTCTATTTGTCCTACAATTAAGCCATAAAACTCATTTCTTATCTCTTCTAAAAAGGCTTTAATTTGAATTTTTCTCCCACTATTACTTGCTTTTCCAGTAAGAATGAAAGAAGGTCTTATTCAAACGCATATAATTCTTAGGGGGCTTGGCAGGGTAGATACTGAGAGGTTATGTCCTCATTTTGGAGAATCTGGGACCAAAAGGCATAATCTCAGAGTACGGAGTCACTCATTTAAGACAGAGGGGAACAGGAATATTTTCCCCCAGGCACTCTTCAATCTGCGGAATTCTTAACTGGAGACGGCTATTGAGGTTAGGTCATTAATTAAGCAGAAAGAAAGATTTGTTATCATTAGACAGATTTGTCATCATTAAGGGAATCAAAGGTTATGGGGATAAAGCAGGAAAGTGGATCAGATCCTTGAATGGCAGAGTGGTCTTGATGGGCCGAATGGCTGACTTGTGTTCCTACGTCTTATGGTCTTAAGCAGAAAATAATTCATAGTTCTTATTGACCTTCTGACCTTTCATTTCCAGGAAATCACTTGATAAAGCCTGTTCAACCAGACAGTTCCATTTTCCAGTTTCTGACTGTCCATATGTATATGCATTCCTAACAACAGGAAGCCATAAAAATATAGTCTCTGTGCCTGTTTATTTGAGATAAGAGAGAGTGTGGTGCCTGGTCCTAATGTCTAACATCTCACCTGATTGTCCTACATACGTCATTGACATATCGGTATCAGTATTGTATGTCCAGTACAATCATCATCAACAAAAGCACTTTCAATCAAAACATTGATGAGAACTACTTGCTGATGTCAATTTCTAAAGTGGCTGTTGGTGACTGGCACAAATTAATCAGAAATAGCAAAAGAGCATGGTGCCTTAAAATAGCCTTAAAATTAATACAGTGATTACAAAGTTACTTCATCAAAAAATCTATGTAAAGCATATATAAAATCAGTGCATAAAGCCAAACAGTTGCTAAACCCGATAATAAGTTTCTTTTGAAAATATTGCAGGATATATTCAACTGATACATGCTTATAAGCAATAAGAAAAGCTATATAGCTACAACAGTATAATTCTTAAACTTATGGAGTCAAAGTCAGACCTCAGTGGCAGAGGTCTCTTATATAATCTAAAAGTGACTGCTTCTCTTTAAGGCACTACAAGTCAAAAGTCTAAATTAATTTAGGACATGGAGCTGAAGGCTTATAGCTGTTCTCCTCACATCACACAATGGACCTCAGTCTTATGTAACAAGAATAACTGATAAGTATTAATTGCTGGAATAATAGCCCTGGCAGTTTTGCGGTACAGTGGTATTATCCCTGTCCCTACTCTGAGCTAGGAGACCTAGGTTCAAGTCCAAACTCCTCCTGAGATGTATATTACCATCACTGAACAAGTTCATTAGGAAAGATCCTTGTGGCACAGTAGTAGTGTCCTTACCTCTGAGACAGAAGGTGTGGATTCACGTTCCATCTGCTCCAGAGTGTGTCATCACATTTCTGACAGATTGATTATCCCAGTTGTAGCGCAGTGTAGTGTAATGGTAGTGTTCCAACCTCTAGGCTAGAAGGTCTATGTTCAAATAGCACCAGTTCCCACATCTGAGCAGACTGATTAGAAACATCTGCAGTAGTTTTAGACACGGATCTGTTCAAATAATGGGCTTCATTGCAGTAGCCTGCAACTAAACCATGATAACATAGCTTTACCCAAACCAATCTCTTAGTATTGTTTCATAGTCTTGAATGCTTCAGTGAGTGCATTTCTTGTTCTGCTCAGAGAATGCAGTCCCAATTCAATAGCCTCTCAACACAGGACCACCTTCTAATCGCATGGACGTAATTTTATTTGCTTCGTTTTATCAGTCCCATGACTACTAAAATAAAGTACCATTTTCTTTATTTTGAAAATCTAAGCCATATTGAAAGGAGCTTGATTGTGTACCAGTGTGCAATAGACCTGAATGGAACCAAGATACACACCTGTTTTTGCAATGAATTCAATCAAAACAGTTCAAAGAAAGGATGTTGGCATTTGTATTGGCATTTGAGATTCACAAGTCATAACAAATTAAAATATCAAGTTAGATGCATTTATACGTATAATCGGATTGCAGATACTTTGTGCCGATACTCCAAGGTTACGTAAGCATGAACCAGAATTAAGTGAAAGGCTTCTTCAATTTGATACTATCTTCAGTGGTTGATTATTAGCTATGATGGAAGCCTGAAAACAAAAGGACATTTTCAACTCTTAATCTATGCTTTCTCAGTGAGGAAAAAATAATTATTGGGGAGAAAGACACAGTCAATAAACAACAATTAAAAAGCCAATTACTATGCATGATGGAAATCTGAATTAAAATCAGAAAATACTGCAAAATACTCAGCAATTTAGGCAGTGTTTATGTAATGAGGCAAACAGTTACTGTTTCAGGTCTGTGATCTTTCATCAGAACTAGAAAAACTTGGAGCTGTAATGGGTCTCTTTACATCTCTAACTTTTCCCAATTCTATTGAAAGGTCACAGGCCTGAAATGAAAGTTAAAATGCTTGAGTCAAAGTGTAATTTGGAAAAACAATGATTCAACCTGTTCAAACAGGATGGAAACTGAAGTTCTGAATGAAACGGTTAGGCTTGTGACTCATTTAATCACCACTTCTTCAGTTTTTATCTCAAAAGTTCTCCAACTGCAATCACAAGGTGACAAAAAACACAATGAAATACACCCCAACTTGAAGATGATGCAGGAATTATATGGTTTTCACATCCCTGGAGAAGGCTGTTGTGTACTCTTTGGCTATAGGAATGGAGTAGGGAAAAACGGAATCCTAAACCTTTATCAAGGAATAGTACCATCCTGAATAAGTTTCGGTTTGTCCACCTTTTCATATGCTGACACATAACCACAAACACATCACACAAATAAGTCAGAGAAACCCTTTCAGCACCAACGTTGATATATAAAAAAAACAACAAAACTTCTGGAATATAAAAGTAAAAATACAAAATAGCATGTAGCATTTAGGGGTATTTTGAAGCAGCATCCTACTGTGCATGATATCACTATAGTTAATTGGATTTGTATTTCCTTTGATCTATCCTAGTGTAACTCTGAACATGTTTGAGTAGATCAATCATTTGAGATTTGGCTGTAAGTGACCTTCACAGGGAATTTGATAAGAGGTAAGATAGTTCCAACAAGACAAGTAACAGGAAGCCAATATTGTTAACTGTGAGGTTTAAGTTAGTCACACTCTTGCAGTACTCCAATGACCAATCAAAAGTCCCTCATCTTGATTCTGCTAAACTGTGCTTTAGATTTCTGATGGGAGGTGCCAGTGTGGGACTTGGGTGGACAAAGTCAGAAGCCACACGACACCAGGTTATACTCCAACAGGTTTGTTTGAAATCACACAAGCTTTTGGAACACCCTTCATCAGGTGCAGTGAGAGAGCAGAACACACAGACACAGAGTTTATAGGCAGAGAGATCAAGGGCAGAGAGATCAAGAGATCATACAACTGGTATGAGTGGAGTGTCAAATAAGTCTCTGCAGGCAACCAAGAGTTTTAGTTGGTGAGTAAAGTGTCAACAGCTGAATGACCAGCGAAGAGATAACCTATAACCTAATTAAATGAGGCAGAGAGATAATTACAAAAAATTCAAAATAAGGTGGTGCTGGAGACAAACTAAGTAACTTGAATTGCATGCCAAATTCAAAATTGTACAAACTAATTAAGGTAGAGAGATCACAACAATTTATCAAGGTCATGCTGTCAAAACAGGACAGTAAGGAAGATTTTACAGATACAGAACAGTATGGTGGGGGTCACATGTAGCGTGACTTGGAACCCAAGATCACAGTTGAGACCATCTTCATGGGTACGGAACTTGGCAATCAGTCTCTGCTTGGTGACTGTGTTGCTATGTATCTCAAAGTCCACCTTGGGAGGACACTTACCTGAAGATCCGAGGCCAAATGCCCTTGACCGCTTAAGTGTTCCCCCACTGGGAGGGAACATCCCTGTCTGGCGATTGTTGCACGGTATCCAGTCATCCGTTGTCGTCGCATCTGCATGGTTTCATCAATATACCATGCCTTGGGGCATCCTTGCCTGCAGTGTACGAGATAGACAACATTGGCCGAGTCACACAAGTATCTGCCATGCACATGGTGGGTGGTGTTCCCACGTGTGATGGTAGTGTCCATGTCAAAGATCTGACATGTCTTGCAGAGGTTGCCATAGTAGGGTTGTGTGGTGTTGTGGTCAATGTTGTCCTGAAGACTGGGTAGTTTGCTACGAACAATGGGCTGTTTAAGGTTTGGCAGTTGTTTGAAGGCCAGAAGTGGAGGCATGCGGAAGATCTCAGTGAGATGCTCATCATCATTGATGACATGCTGAAGGCTGAGAGGAACACAGTGTAGTTTCTATGCTCCGGGGAAGTAGTGGATGACAAAGGGCACCCTATCCATCGTAACCTGTGTCCTTCTTTTGTGGAGGTCATTGTGGTTTTTCGCTGTGGCACGTCAGAACTGGTGATCAATAAGTTGAGTATCATATCCTGTTTGTTATGAGGGCTTCGTTCAAAACCTTCAGATGTCCATCATGTTCCTCCTCATCTGAGCAGATCCTTTGTATGCACAGGGTTTGTCTGTAAGGTATGGCTTCTTTAATACGTTTCGGGTGGAGGCTAGAGAAATGCAGCGTCATGAGGTTACCTGTGGGCTTGCAGTAGGGTGATGTACTGAGGTGTCTGTCCTTGATGGAGATGCATGTGTCCAAGAATGAGTCTGATTCTGAAGAGTAGTCCATGGTAAGTCTGATTGTGGGGGGAATCTTGTTGATATCACCATTTAGTGATTCCTCGCCATGAGTCTAAAGGAAGAAAATGGTGTTAATGTATCTGGTGTACAGTGTTGGTTGTAGGTTCTGTGCAGCAAAGCAGTCTTGATTGAACCTGTGCATGAAAACATTGGCATATTAGGAAGAAAATCTGGTCCTCATGGCTGTTCCGTGCATCTGGATGAAGAACTGGTTGTCGAAGGTGAAGACATTGTGCTTGAGGATGAAGTGGATCAGTTAGTTATAGGATGGCATCTGGAAATGGGCAGTTGCTGCTGTTGAGTACTGAGACTGTTGCATCAATGCCATCGCTGTGGGGTATGCCGTGCAGAGTGCCAAAATGTCCAGTATGACGACGAATGTTCCTGGTTCAATGGTCTGTGGGTGCTAAGTTTCTGTAAGAAATCTGTAGTGTCGCAACAGAAGCAGGGGGTTCACTGTACAATGGGTTTCAAGATGCCCTCAACAAAGCCATAGGAACGTGACGGATGACGGGGTACGATGCTCAACTCATCAATTGCCAGTTCCGACGTGCCACAATGAAAAACTGCAATGACCTTTTTTAAAAAGGCAGACACAGGATACAACCGATAGAGCATTCTTCATCGTCCAAAGCTTCCCCAGAGCGGAGAAACTACACCATGCTCTTCACAGCCTTCTACATGTCATCAATGACGGTGAGCATCTCACGGAGATCTTCCATATGCCTCCACTTCTCACCTTCGAGCAACCGCCAAACCTTAAACAGCCCATTGTTCGCAGCAAACTACCCAGCCTTCAGGACAACGTCGACCACAACACCACACAACCCTGCCATGGCAACCTCTGCAAGACATGTCAGATCTTCAACATGGTCACTACCATCACACGTGGGAACACCACCCGCCATGCGCATGGCAGATACTTATGTGACTCGGCCAACGTTGTCTATCTCGTACACTGCAGGTAAGGATGCCCCAAGGCATAGTATATTGACAAAACCATGTAGATGCTACGACAACGGACGAATGGACACCACACAACAATCACCAGACAGGAATGTTCCCTCCCAGTGGGGAACACTTCAGCGGTCAAGGACATTCAGCCTCCAATCTTCAGGTAAGCATCTTCCAAGGCAGCTTTCGAGATACACAACAACGCAGAATCACTGATAGCCACGTTCCATACCCATGAAAACGGTCTCAACCAATGTCTTGGGTTCATGTCGCACTACAGGTGATCCCACCGCACTGTTCTGTATCTGTAAAATCTTCCTTACTGTTCTGTTTTGTACTTGATAAATTGTTGTGATCTCTCTACCTGAATTAGTTTGTACAATTTTGAATTTGGCATGCGATTCCAGTCATTTAGTTTGTCTCCGTCACCACCTTATTTTAAATTTTTTGTAATTTTCTCTCTGCCTCATTTAATTAGATTATAGGTCATCCCTTTGCTGGTTATTCAGCTGTTGACACTTTACTCACCAACTAAAACTCTTGGTCACCTGCAGAGACTTATTATCTGACACTCCACTCACACCAGTTGTATGATCTTTTGATCTCTCTGCCCTTGACCTCTCTGCCTATAAACTCTGTCTGTGTGCCCTGCTCTCTCACTGCACCTGATGAAGGGGCTGCGCTCCGAAAGCTTGTGTGATTTCAAATAAACCTTTGGGACTATAACCTGGTGTTGTGTGGCTTCTGACTTAGATTTCTGAAATATTCATGTGGGATGAAGGGAGAATCCCTGTTGTGAGGTAAGTGGGTGCAGAGATTTCACAATGCCTTGATTTGGTGATTAAAACACTTACACATGATGATGGGTTTCCATGTCAGATATTCAACTGAACAACACAGATATACATTGCTCTCTCAATCTCTCTCTCATTCTCATTTTCCATCCCTATCTCTGGGTTAAGGTTAAAATGTTCCCTTAACCACTGAACTGTATCAACCGAAACAAAATGGCCCTATTATTAACGCTAAAGACAGAGTTCCAAAGTTCACTAAAATAAGAATAAAGAACTGCAGATGCTGAAAATCTGAAATGAAAACAGAGTGCTGGAGAAGGGCCCTGACCCGAAACATCAACTTTCCTGTTCCTCTGATGCTGACTGGCCTGCTGTGTTCCTCCAGCTCCACACTGCGTTATCTGACTCCAGCATCGGCAGTTCTTAGTATCTCAGCTGGAGAAGCTCAGCAGGTCTGGCAGCATCTAAAGAGAGAAAACACAGTCAATGTTTTGTTAAGGTTCACTAATGATTAGCTCAGTGGGGAGGTCTTTTCTACAAAAGCTGAAGTGGAGTGTTCATTTTGATGGATTGACATCTTTATGATGTTATTTTAAGATATTATTGCTTCAAGGTACTTCTTTCAAAGCCGATGTGTTTATCTAGGTAAGATTAAGAGGAAAAGAGTAAGGTAAAACTGAGAATGATTCTGTTTGATGAACATATTTATTAGGTTTTAAGTGCAGCCGTATTTTCTGGGCAGATTTTAAACAATTTGAGTCCATTTCAAGGCTTGCCATTGTTATTCTATGATTCATTCTTTCAATAGTGTGCATGGGATGAGCAAGCATGTGGTATGGCAGGGGTCATGGAAGAGATATTGGGAGCATGGAAGTGACATTGGGTGCATGGAGGTTTCATGGGGAGTCACTGGATGTTGGGGGTGGGGTGTGAGTGGCTTGGACTAATGAGCCCAACAACCATCTATAATACAACTGAGATGAAATCCTACAGAACTGAGGAGGGCTTTCTGACCATCCTGTCTCAGCACTCAGCACCTCTGTAAACTGAATTCAGACTGCTTCTGAAATGGGTGGGCTTGACTTAATCTTGACCCAGCTCCACAAAGTGAAAACCATGCCTGCAGGGACAGGTGTACTTAAAAATTTCCTGACTCAAAAACTTTATACTTCTTTGGTAAGAATCTGACCTTCGCTCTCATTTCCAAACTGTAAGGGCATGTTCTCTTTAATGCAGCTCAAGTAGCACCAAAAGTGTCTTTGAGGAATGCAGCTTCAGTGATACCAACGGGGGATGCCAAAGCCCATGTATGTGAGAGCCAGTAGTGCTGAGTGCCCTCAGGGAATTTGTATAGTCTATAAAGTAACCCTTTGAAGTGACACTGTGCAAATGAATTATTCTCTGTAATACTTTATAAAAATAAAAAGCAAAAAACACTTTTAGCAAATTCTAGCCTTCATAATGAAACTGAGTACAATGTATAAATTCACTTGTGCCTGTGTATCAAGTTCTGTCTTTATCTATCCATATACAGTAGCAATGCCTGGATTTGCCAAATCAACAATTGCCAATTAATGATTAGTAGCTTCAAAAACATTATATCACTTTTCTTGCAGGTATCGTCTCTTCAAATATGTCTCAAACGTGGGCCAAACTTTTACTGTTTCCTGCTAAACTTACAACAGTGGATTAATTTGAACAACATAAATAAACGCACAAACAATTGCTGCTATGGTCCTTCTATTGCAGTGGTTTTCATCTAAATCTCACTGGAACAGAAGTGGCTAGAATCCAAAACCCACGCTATCGCTGACACGGAAACTTATTTTTGCCAACTTGGCACAAATACAATTTAAATCAATGTTAGGGAAAACAAAATTATAGCAAACCTTTAACTTATTTCAGTCAGTCATTGTTTTATAAAACCACATTATGTTGTGAATGTTTTACTCGTTGACCACCTTTAGCTGGCATCAAGTATCGCAGCTTCTTCCAGAAATAAGAATTTTTCAAGATCGGCTCATTACCCTTCCATTTCACAATTCTTTTTGACTTCAGAACAAGTTGAAGTGACTCTGGTAGTAACTTAGGGCTGCTTAGAGGTTTAAATTCAATAAGTATTGGTTTTATTTTTCTTTCAACCAATACCTGATACAGTCCAGTCATTAGTTCATAGGTAGAGCTGCATTGATTGTCCAAATATTCTTCACAGAGAATTATAATCAATCTTCGGCATTTCTTTATATAAGAAAGTATATTATCTGCAGAGCCTGTAAAAGAAATTAAATAGCAATTCATTAAAAATACCAATTGGCAAAAAAAAATCTTGACTATTATACATATAGATCTCAACCTGTACATAATTCAACCTGTTCACTCAAACTATTCCTCAGAATGCTGAGCAATAAATCAAACGTGACCACAATGGGGGACAGTTTTCCCATCCCTTCCTTCAGTGACGTGAGCAATGGAGAGAAATGTGGGAAAATATAGTGAGAATGAAAATGTCTTTCTTGACATCAAGAAAACAAAATGTCTGATTTTTCCCTTAAAGTTTAAATGGTGAAGTCTGAATTCGAGAGTAAGTGGCAGTCCGTTCATTTTCAGTGTATTTGCATCTCATTATCAACCAATCTCACCCCAGTTCTATGCAGTCCATTATTCTTCCAGGCATGGTGAGAGACTAGATGGTGCCACTTTGAAAGTTGAAAGGGGAAATGATTACCTGGCACGTATGGCTTGCATGTACAGCTTCAGTACTTCACCACAACATGTTGGAACTTATGGACATCTTATATTCAATGTTGCTATCAGGATACTCTTTACACAGTGACACACACCCATCTAATGCATCTACATAGGGTGCATTTTATGGCTGTTAACTTGCTGTCTTACTGCCCACTCACTTTATACCTACTTGCACATTTACAGGATCTCTGGTGTTTCTTCCCTTTTTGTGCATTGTGGCTTCAATGAAAATTTACAGGGTCACAGCATCTCTGCTGTCTTGACTTGTTTTTACAGCACAGATACAAGGACAGGCACTGAAAACAATAAATGCTGGAGATCCCAGCAGGTCAGGCAGCATCCATGGAAAGAAAGCAACATATCAAGTCTCGATGATTCCTCATCAGAGCTGATGTGAAGTGTGTATAGTTTGGGTGGGAGGAGGGAGCTGTTGGAATGTATAGTACTGGGGGAAGAAAGAACGTTGATAGTTCAGCAGTTTATCATGATTGCCAGCAATGATCAATCAAGGGGTGGTTACGTTGCTGTACAGCACCATGCTATGTCAATGTCACATCTATAGCATGTGCAAGCAGCTTATACAGCAAGCACATTAGATGTGCTTCAATCAAATACCCTTGTCTGAAAGTCAAAGGGGAACAGTCATTAATGGAGTGAAGGGGACTACAGTCAGTGTGACAGTACTGCAACGCTTAGTCTATGGGGTTGGACATGGCTAGTCAGATAATTGGTACAACCAGGTTTCAAGGACCTGTGTCCTTTCTGTCCAGAGACTGGGCCATAGTCAGTCTTGCAGGTCAAGTTTAATCAGTCCGAGGATCATAAAATCGGGGAACTGTGGAGATATCAGTCTGGGATTGGGGCATGCTCAGTCAAGGCTGTTGTCATACAGGGGTGTCCCACAGTCAATCCTGGGGTTTGGACAGTAAACATCACAGAGATGGGAGGTGGTTATTAAAGGGCAGTCCATATGGTGCTGTGGAAAGTAGGAAAGCCAACTCAGAGCATGGGATGCATTATGCTGTGATGCTGAGGGAATAATGACAGTGAAGGGGAAACTCTAAATACAAGGCTGGGAGCTGGGAGGACACTTCTTTTTTTCCACAAGTCACCACCAGCCTGGCTTGAATGGGAGGGCAGTGGTTAGCAATTGCCAGTGGATCTGGCAATGTGGCAAGCCAAAGGCTGAGGGAAAAACTGGGGATAATAACAAGCAAATAAGGGGTTTGGGTGACACACTGGGAACCCACAAGCTGATAGAGTTGAAAGGGTCAGCAATGCAAAAGGATTCACGAGGTAGGAATTGTGATTCTTGACTGTCAGGCAGATTTGAAATTCACTCGCCAGAGTGCAATCTGTATGGTGTGCCATTTTCAACTGAACCTTAACATGCAGTAAGGAAGAAAATTAGCTGTAATACAGTCACAGTGGGCGGAGCAAGTGCCATTTGTTTGATCAGACGGGGCAAGATGGACATGTTTGCACCATGAGTCTGAATCATGGTAGTTAAGACATCCAACCTTCAATGGGTGTAAGTTCCTCTGTTAAGCACAGAGGCAGAATGAACCTTTGCCTCCAGAGAAGTGTGGGCTCATAAATTATCACATTCACACATACACAAGGTGGTTGGAAGTGTGGAACATGAGCAAAATCCTGGTACAAGGCATTCACATTATCTTTGGCCTCAGCGATTTCCTCATTAAACTGCTAAGCCTTGGCTGCAATTATGAACATAAGGGATGAAAGATCCCTAAAATCTGTTGGAAAACAGGATTCCTTTTACAGATGAGCAATGCTTCACCAATACAACTTCTGTCCTCCTTGGGATGTATGAGGAGGCAGCTTAACGAAGAAACGACAACCAATTAACCAGATCCTAAATAGCTGAAATGCCAATCAGACATGAGATCATAGGAAGCACATATGTATTTACAGATTATAAATTTTTTTACTCATTCATGGGATGTGAGTGTCAACAGCTGGGTCTGTACTTACTGGCCATCTGTAGTTGTCCTTGAGAAGGTGGTGGTGAACTGCCTTCTTAGACCACTGAAGTTTAGGTAGACCAACAATGCCAAATGAGAAGGAATTCTAGGATTTTGACATAGCAACACTGGAGGAATGGTGATATATTTCCAAGTCAGGGTGGGTAGCGACTTGGAGGGAACTTGCAGGTGGTGACATATCTGCTGCTCTTGTTCTTCTAGTGGAAGTGGTCATGGGTTTGGAACATACTGTCTAAATTTCTGCAATGCGCCTTGTAGATGGTACACACTGCTGCTACTGACAATCGATCGGACAGACATTAGATGTTTGTGGATGTGGTTTCAATCAAGCAAGCTGCTTTGGTTGAAGGAGATGCGATGGCCGAGTGGTATTATCATTCAACTCTTGATCCAGATGTATGTTCGGGTGACCAGGGTTTGACTCCTACCATGGCAGAGGGTGGAATGTGAATTCAATAAAATTCTGGAATTAAGAGTCTAATGATGCCCATGAAATCATTGCTGATTAGTGGGAAAACCCATCTGATTCAGTAATGTTCTTTAGGGAAGGAAATCTGCTGCCCTTCCCTGGTCTAGCCTACGTGACTCCAGACCCACAGCTCCTAGCTGCCATCTGAAATGGCATAGCCAGTCAGTCAGTTGTAACGATCACTAGAAAGTATCTGTCACCCCTGCCACCTATGTGCCCTCAGAGTGTTTTCTTCTCCTTTTCCACAACATCTCAGTGCAGCCCTGGTGTCTGTGGTGGATCCTGTTGGCCTAGACAATTTGGGCAGACACAACCTGGGATGTTTGGACCTGGAGGGCCTAGACCTGCTTAGTGCCCTTCCTAGCTGAAACCTTCTGTAGGGTTGGGGATTGCAGGTAGGGCAGAGCTGGAGAGGCTAGGCACCTCCTGGTGTGTCTTCAAAGGAAATGAATGGGTGGTCTCTGCATGGTGTCTCCTCTGTCTGGGTGCCCGCTGCCACCACTGTGTCTCCTTGGGCACCTGAAGAGACACCTGAAGTAAGGTCAAGGTCACTCATCCCACTTTCACCTTGCTGCTGATGCTGCCTGCAGATGGCTAAAAGGTCTGCATGTATTTCAGGCAGTTGCTCAGTGTTCTGCAGATGCCAACCTTCCCATGGGGACAGCTAGACCCAGCATGGCATTCATAACATTGGTGAACTCCTCCAAATTTTGATCCAGTTTTCCAAATGTCTCTTACAACACTGCCCCCTGTTCCCCTGACTGCGATGTGTCAGAAGGATAAGCGAGATGCACGTGTATGGAAGAATTGTTAGTGGTGGCGTTGGAGCAGCAGAGGTGGGGAGGTGCCTGAGTGCGTGAGTGGGGAGTGCAGAGGCAGGAAGAGTTAGCACTTTAGGAGGATGAGGTGGGTGGGAGCCATCAAGCAGAAATGTAGCATGCAGCAGTGAGCACTGTACACTATTAGCCTCATTGATGATGTTGTGCTGTTGCAGAATTAGAGCAAGTGTGAGGAAGCAGACAGAAGGCAGTGGCACTGAACCTTGTGGAATGCAGATCATCACTAACCATGAAACCATCTTTTACTCCCACCTCTTTTCTTCTGGGAATAGGTTTTTTTTAAATCTCTGAAGGAACCAAGGGATTTGGAGAGCAGGTAGGAAAGTGGACTTGTTTTATAACTGCAACTTATAGCCCAGCTTCTATTTGGAGGTTAAATGGTAAAGATAACTGAGTGACATATTTAACTTTTATTTCTAACCTTATTTTGCCTGGTTGAGTGTCTATGGCTTAAGACCACTGAGGCTAAAATTGACAAAAATGAAGTAATCTCCAGTGTTTAATTCAAACAAAGAGTTATGTTAAATCACTGTATTTTTTTAAAAACTGTAATTTTGTGAAAATGTTTTCTCCATTTTTCAGGACTATTTCAGGGTGTGAATGTAATGCTAACTGACATGTGCGTCAGTCACTTTTACATAATGCGGCAATTTTACATTAAAAAATTTTGCGTGACAAGACGCAGTTGACCTTCACACCATACAAGTGCCAGATAAAGACTATCTCCAACAGGGGAGAATCTAACCATTACCTCTTGATATTCAATGAATCCACAACTATGAACATCCTGGGGGATTTCACTGACCAGAAACCAAACTGGACTTGACTTATAAATACGGAGTCAACAACAGCAAGTCAAGACTAGGAACCCTGCAAACAATAACTCATTTCTTGACTCCACAAAGCCTGTCCATTATTTAAGAGGAACCAGGAAGGTGTTCAGCTCCAACAACCCACAAAAGGAGTTTGATACAATCTAAGCAAAAGCAGGCCATTTGTTTAGCATCTCACCCTCAACCATCCACTCCGTCAACCACCAATGCTCGGTAATAGCATTGTGTGTACCATCTACAAGATGCACTCTAGAAATTCACCGAGGCTTCTTAGATAGCACCTTTCAAAACTACAAGTGCGGCCATCTAGGATGACAAAGGAAGCAGATACATGGGAATACCGTCAACTACAAGATCCTCTTTGAGCCACTGTCC